TAAATATATATTATTATAACATATATATATGTATATATATATATTTGTATATGTGTGTTTATATATATATATGTGTGTGTGTGTGTGTGTGTGTGATGCATTTTATTGATTAATAAATGGAGCGAGCTGCTGCTAAGCTGCTATATACCTTACTGTACAATTTATTTGACAATATATATAAAATATTGAGCGTTTTACTGATTATTGATTATTGATTGCACTTCCATTCCAAAATCAACAAGCAGATGAATGAACTGCGGCCAACACATAAGTGCCAGGATGAACGTAAAATCTGGAGCGATCAGAGCAGCCCAACATACCGCTGAGAATGTTAAGGGGGTCTCGAACAAAGGCCTCCTCTGGCAACCCACTTGTACATGTAGTTGGCTGTTTGTTGTCACCATTACAGCCGTTTTTATATCACACCAGCGAAACCTGCACAGAAGTAGTACGTTCCCAGCAAAAATCCTTGTCCATGATGCGCGTGGGAAGATCAATCGTTATCGTTCATGTCCCAGCTGAGGGGCTTATTCAATCAGCCCTGACGGCTGAAATGCAAAGAATGAGTTGATCTGTTGTGTGTTAAATGGCCTCTCCAGAATGATGTGTGCCTATAGGGCGAGGAGGCTGCTATGAGTGCTGGAGGTGTGATGAAACTAACCATCAGCGATGTAAAGGAAGGAGTTTTTTTTTAAGAAAACCTCCCACTTGTTTGATATCAAAATAGGCCTGCATGGGTGTGCTTCTGAATTTAGGTTTCTAGAAGCAAAAGGAAAACACACAAACACATATAGGCTGTTACAGTAGGGCAAGAGCTATTGTTCATGAACAGTGATTAAAAATGAGAAGGTTAGGAGTGATAATTCAGGGAAAAACACAAACATTTATGGTTGCTTTATGGATCAGTGGTCAACGTTGGTAGACTGGGCCATTGTGTCTTGCATAAAACATCCTGAGTATTAATCTTAAGTAAAATGCATAATATATCAATTTGAAGCTGTAAATTAAATTTATCATTTGAAACTTGAAAAACGTGAAATTTAAATTTAGGGTCTAAAATTCACTTTACAATTATAGAATTTTTTTGGGACATTCCACTCCAAACATTTCCTCAAAAAGATTTTATGTTGCTCACTTAAGTGAAAACACTAGGCAAAGGAAAAACATAAGGCTGAAATGCACTTAAGATCTGGGCTATGATCTTTGAGTTATTTGTTCTTCCCCATATACAGCTCACATACAGGTTAATGGTACGTCACTGTGTAATTTGCTCTTTATATGCGAGTGTTTAATCAAGAAAGTTCAGGCATTTGTGTTTGTGTTGATTCTTCACAGTATTTACAGTAAACTGCAGCACAGACATTGAAGTCACTGCTGAGGGACCAAAGGCGCGGTAAAACCTAGTTACAACATATTAACCTACACCAGAGTGGAATTTGAAAACTAGGTCCCTTTTACCTAGAACTCAAAATAAAATCTGTTTAGACTTGGTCAAGTCTTTGTAGAGTCCTCAAAGTAGTTCAGATCCATCACATTGTTGGTTCTTTCTGTGGGACCTTAGCATGTGAAGTCAACCAGGTGCTTACTCCAACTTCCAAGTTAAGGCAGAACAAGTTTTGGTTGCCTCGCTGTGTGTTGCTCATTTAATAAGCTGGGTGCTGAATGTGGGCCTGAGGGAGTGATTAGAACAATTTCAACCAACTACAGTGCACATATGAACATGCTCACTGCCATTAAACACAAACCCATAAGATACTGTACATCCAGCAGATATCTCAAAAAAATCAGATTTAGCTGTTTCATGACTGTAATGTGGCTTCAGGCCCTCAGCAGGTAAAAAAGCCCACCATTCAGTTATTCCTGATGGGCATCATGGAGTGAAAATTAAACGTTTTCACAATTATTACATACTTCAATTAATCTACTATGAATGCTATTAATACTAAGTCTATGGCTATTATTTATAATATCATAGCAATAGCTGATATTACCTGTAATAATATGCATTATAACATGCAAGTCCAGGCATAGTGTTTTTTTTTATCATTTTACTATATTGTATTGCTTGTATTGTAGTATAATACACTATGATACTATATATATATATATATATATATATATATATATATATGTATATATATATATAAATATATATATATATATATATATATATATATAAATGTGTGTGTGTGTGTGTAACATTTCAGAATAAACGCAATTATTCATATTTATTTGCTGATATGGCCTGTGCAAAAGTTTCGGCACACTTTATGTTTTAAAGAAAGAACAAATAAATATCATAGGAGCAGACACAGTCGTGGTATTTTAGCAGGTTTCTGAAAAACTCTGCTGTGTTTACACCAGCATCTGCAAGCACAATAAACACGCTGTTGATAATCGCATCTATTTATTTTAAGCTCGAAGTTAAGATAAGAGGCTACAGTCTTCCCTCAGTTTCAAGCCATCTACAGGCGGTGTGTGATTTGCATTGAAATGTTTAGAGATGGTTGGAAATTGATTATGGTAATGAATAAACAATTTCCATTAATTGTCCCGCAGAGCGCGCGCTGCAAATCATCGATCGCTTTCCCCGGGGGGGTTTAAAACACTACCTGAGTGGAGCGAATGTGCTAAATGTGCTCTGCTGTATGCTTTATTTGTCAGACCTGCAGCACCAAACTCACCGCGGGAAGGAACAGGACTCATTTACGTTTACTGTCTCTTTGAAGCGCCAGTCTTCATTTTGGAGAAAATCTTAAATCTTAAATTTGGGGTGGGGGGGGTTATTATTGTTTCAATCTTGTGGTGTTTTCGAGTGCCAAACATGTATTTGAACGAAGCTGCTTCGCCATTTCCTTCAGCTGAGTATTCAGTAATTGAATAATTGAGTAGTAAACACTTATAGTGAATTTTATATAGAGCGTTTTATTTTGACTGACGGTAAAGCGCCGCGTGGAGTTATTCTTCATCATTTACTATTCATCTCTCTCTCTCTCTCTCTCTCTCTCCCATTGTAAAAGCGGCATATGTGAGTACAGAGACCCAAATCGGGGGAGGGGGATTCACACTCATCCACACACACACACACACACACACACACACACACACATAAATATATATACGTATTTATTTATTTATTTATTTATTTATATATTTATTTATTTATTTATTTGTATTCCAGCTGGAAAGGAGATTTGCTCTCTACGCATCACTTTCAGACTTTAAACAAAAACACGTTTTTTTCTCACTTCATACTCAGTCCCACGTGCGCACATATACATCCCCTTCTCCCCCCCTCTCTTTTTTGCTCTGTTGCCCTTGACCGAAATCTGTAGTGATCTTCTCGTGCCAAGGTGTTCCTCAGCTTTGCTGTAAGTTTTTTACTCACACCGCGCGAGACACAGAAAGAGGAAAAGCAGCAGCGATTCAGATTCACGCGCGACTCCACTTTCAGATTTTTTTCCCTAGAATAGATTTTCTAACAGACCCCCAGCACCCCCCCCCACACACCAATCCCACCCCTGGTGGCGTTACACTTTACATTTCCTTGCAGTTCATTTATTTACACTTTACATTTTAACTATGGTCATTGTGCCTCCAGAAACCTGAGGACAATGGGACCTCGCGACACACACACACATACACACACACACGTACACACACACGGAGACAGGAAAATGATAGAGAAAAAAATGCTTTCGCTGAAAAACATCCCATCTCGCAAGTATATACATATATATATATATATATATATATATATATATATATATATATATATATGTATATATATATATATGATTGTAGTTCATTGCGAATTAAAATACGAAAAGTCCAAAATTCAAAAGAACACCCCCAAAAAATCCAAATAAATTCGGATCGGAACAATTACAAATTCAAAAGAAATTCACAACAATGAATGTAAATTCAAAGCAAAATTCAAAGGCGCCACGCAAATTTGGAGGGAAACCTTTTGAATGACAGTCTGTGTAAAACATGATCGAAATACAGACGTGTTTTTTATAAATTCACCACCACCTTAAACACCTCAAACGCTCGAATGTTTCACATCAATCATTTACAGCGCTATCAAATGACTCGCTATTCGCAAATATCCGAATTAGCCCGAATATGCGATTAGCGAGGAAAACCGACGCAACTTATTTAAACGCAGTAGTTCCTCAGAATCACCGGCTGCTGACAAACAAGACGAGTCTGAGCGCTTTTATAGCAGCACGCTTCATGAAAACTTGTCACGGCCGCAATTTAGACTATTTTAACAAGAGAGGTGGGAGTACAATAGTGGGGTAATGACTGAGAGGGGTGTGAGTGAGTGTATGAGTGTGTTGGGGGGGGTCTAATATCCATTTTGATTGCATCACCTGTCAGCAGCGTCCAATCAGCGTCCACTTTGGGGGCATTAATTGATGAAGGTGTGTCCGCGCGCGCTCACTCTCTCTCTCTGTCAGTGCGTTTGGTGGCTAAACCGGCAGCGGCTGCATTTTTTTTCGGGGGGGTCTCTCTCTCTCTCTCTCTCTCTCTCTCTCTCTCTCTCTCCTCCTGTTTTCTCCTCCTCACTCTGGCCGAGCTGTTCACCTTCCTTCCTCCCTTCCTTCCTTCCTCTCTCTCCTCGCGCAGTGCAGTGAGGGAGAGCAGGTATAAGAGCGTGCAGCTTTGTGTTTTCTCTTTTTTTGCGCGCGTGCGTGTGTGTGTGAGCGTGTGTGTGTGTGTGTGTGTGTGTTGGGGGGGGATGTCCACCATCATCATGCTGCACGCAAACCGGTGGACCCATCCTCGCGAGCCCGTCCAGGATGCAAACTTTTGCTCACGCACTGGACCGGTCAGCAGAAGCAACGCCCGAGCGGATGCTTTGAGACTGAAACATTAGCCACAAACAAACAAACAAACAAGCAAACAAACAAAACAAGACAAACCATGCTGTTTCATTTTTCAATGGACGCACACCCACGTGGAGCTCGGTGCTGGAGCGAGCAGCGCGAGGAGAAGGTCCGGCAGCAGCAGCAGTGATGGGAGACGTGGAGTTCGGCTTTGAGGAGATGCAGGGGGTGAAGCTGGGCTATCTGGTCATCCAGGGCAAGCAGATGTTCGCGCTGTCCCAGGTGTTCACGGACCTGCTGAAAAACATCCCTCGCACCACGGTGCACAAGCGCATGGACCACCTGAAGGTGCAGAAGCACCGGTGCGACCTGCGCCAGCTGCGCAAGCTCAAAGCCCTCAACTCGGTGGCCTTCCACGCCGCCAAGTGCACGCTCATCTCCCGGGAGGACGTGGAGGCCCTGTACGTGTCCTGCAAGGCGGAGAAAGGCGGCGGCCAGAGGAGGGCGAGAGAGCGCGAGGAGGAGCGCGAGGAGGGGCCGGTGTGGCCCGGCTGGAGCCCGGCGGAGCGCGCGCTGCCCCGGCTGTACGGCGCGGCGTTCGCGCACCACCAGTGCGGCAAGACGAGGCGGAGGCGCCGCTGCTGGAGTAGGAGCAGGGGCCCGCGCCGGCTTGTGCTGCTCCCCGGCTGCTGCGCGGAGAGCTGCTGCAGCAGCAGCGACAGCGAGTCCACGTCCAGCAACAACAACGACTCGGACTTCGGCTCCAGCTTGTCCTCCAGCAGCTCGAGCGGCACGAGTACCAGCACCAACTCGGGCACGACGGACGACGAGGAGGAGGAGGACGACGACGAAGACGACGACGACGACCACGAGTGCGTCTCGTGCTCGTCCGCCGACGACAGCAGCGACGAGGAGGACAGCTCCTCCAGGTCCGACTCGAGCTCGGCCAGCAGCCGCGTCTCCTCGCAGAGCATCCGCTTCAGGCGCGCGCGGCTCGCCAAAGCGCCCCTGCTCCTGCAGCCCACCTTCCGCTACCGGGAGAGCGAGCGAGCCAGGGCGCTGCGGCAGCTGGACGCGGACGTGGCGAGCTGGAGGAGGGCGGTGGGCAGCTGCTTCTCGGGCAGGCCGCCTCCGCACCTTCACTTTCCTCACCAGCCAAAGACGAGCGGAGTTGGGGCGGTGGGCTTCCCCTACAGCGGCACCCCCAACGCCAACGGGACGCAGAGGATTCTAGGACTTTCGAACAGATTCCACTCCCTGGTTTCCAGCCCAGAGCAGGACAAAGACAAGGCGAGCGCACACCACGGCGCTTTCGCGGACTGCAAACTGGCCAGCCCTGACCTCAAAGTGGCCCTCCGAACGGACGACATCAAGACAGAAGGCGAGGAGAACGGCCACGAAAGCAGCGCTCCGTTTCCGTTCAACCACGTCAAAATCAAAGTGGAGGACCCTCTGGACGACTACGAATATGCAAGCCAAGGCCTCGCCGAGCACTGCAAGAGCAACGGCCTGGATGTAGAAAAGGAGCACTGCAAAGCGACCCCTCCTCCCCCTCCTCCAAACCAGGAGCCCTGCAGCACTTTAAACGCTCACTGTGCCGAGAAAGGAGAGCACAGGAACGGAGCGAGGGTCAGGAAAAGCCACAGGGTCCCCGTGTGGGGGAAAAAGGCAGAAAGCGCGGCCAAACCGGGCGCTAAAGCGGACAGGAGTCCTCGCTGCGCCAGCCACGAGGGATCCGGCGAGGAGTGGACGAACCACGTCAAGCGCGGGCGGCCCACCAGCGGCCTGAAGAGGCCCTTCAACTTCATGGCGAATTTCCCCTCCCCGCCGTCGCTCATCATCGGCAACGATGGAGATCTGAGTCCCGCTTACTCTCTGAGCTCCTTCAGGAACAAGCAGCTGCCCCACCGCTCGCACCCCGTGTGGACATGGCAGCTCGGTGCTTGCGTTGTACCTCCCCCTCTGAGCCAGAGACTCAGGAAAACAATCCCTTGAACCGGTGCTTCGAGAGGGGTCTTAAAAACTGTGTCAGGCTCTGGTTTACTCTTTGCAGTGCTGCAAAACCCCATTTAGCATTTTTTCATTACTGTCTTTATTATTAATATTATCATCGTGGTTTTGGGACACTGTGGAATACATTTCAATAAGCTTCCCCATCGAGTGACGTTGGATTGTTTTGCTTTGGCACGAGTGGATTTACGCTTACAGGTTTGCGTGGATGGGATTATAATTTGGTGCCAACATGAGCAGGAACGACTATGAAAAGCTCCAAACCGTAGAATATGTACGTTGGCCTTTCCATTGTGAGTCTATAGGTTGTTGTAGGGTGATTATTTATTTAGCCCAGTTGTTGGTGCAGCCTACCACAGTAAGCCTCAACACAAAGACCCCAGCCCTGCATTACTGACAATCAGGAGCGGTTTGATTTGCACGAGGAAACTTTAGAAATAAGAATAATAACAAATGAAAAATGACACCAAATCGCTGTTATGGTTATGTTATGGTTATGGTCCTGGCACACGCGGTAATAGTTTGTGGCACCAGTTGAAGCACAAATTCACCATGCATTGCACTTTGACACCATGCTATGGCTCGAAAGAATCGACTGAAAGATCTGGAGATAAATAAAAAGAAGTAAACAAAAAAACAAAAACGAGCCAGCAAACGTAGCATATCCTCGATTTTTTTGCATGTTCATTAGTTCCATTACTGGTCTGTAGGGCTGGGTGTGATCCTTCTTTTGTGAAGCCTCAACAAGAAATACAACAGCCCCAGAGTTTATGCAAACCATAGCGTTCAAAAAAATAAAATAAAAATACCACAAATTTGAGCAATTCCGGGCGTAATTTTTGCTCACGGATTTATTTCCCTTGATTCATTGATTGTATTCCCATTTCCTGCGGAATGAAGCTGGACTGTTACCTGGAGCCACTAGAGAGAGAGAGAGAGACAGAGAGAGAGAGAGAGAGAGAGAGAGAGAGAGAGAGAGAGAGAGAGAGAAAGAGAGCGAGTCTGCCGTCATATCAAAGAAAACTAACGTTCAGGTGTTAAGTTGGTGTTCTGTTTTATTCCCATGTAAATGCTTGTGAATGTACTGTTGTTTACCTTAGAGCCAAGCAGAAGGCCTGTAAAGCAACCAACCTCAAGAACAAGGCCACAAAGGACTGGGCTCTGAGCACGAGCGTGGCCTTTGCATACATTCTGACTTTCTCCATCACAACAACAGAAAGAAAGAAATGTCCAATGCCAATGACTAGTTAGTGCTTTATTTATAGCGGTTGTTTTGGTGGTGGGCGATTTCGCGCTCTTGGCCTTCGTGTTTTTCCTGTAGTTAGGCTTTTGAAGGCCTAGTAGCCCATATGAGTTGCAAATGGACCTGCAGCGATTAAAATTCTGTTGTTTTTGTTTTTTCTAAACAAGAACTATTTTTATGATGGGACCCTGTAATGTAGCCTCTCAGCCTCCCGTGTCAAAGTGCACTGTGAACTGACTCGGCGACTGGAAAAAAAACATTTAAAAAAAGGGAATTTCAGTTTCGCCACACTAGAAGTAGAATGTAAGACAGACACAAATAGTAATGTATGAATGCAGAGAGCCTCAACGTAGCCTATAGGCCTTTCTATGGAAATGGTCGAGGTGGGCGTCCTCTTTTCTATCCCTCTACTTTTGCTGCAGAATACTTGAGGTCAGGTTTTGACATGAATTTTTTAGAAAAAAAAAACAACGAAAAAAAACAAAACAAAAATTTGAAGTCACTGGTTGTTTATAAATGCATATTTATTTTTGTGATTTTTTGTATACCATTGTTGTGTAGGATAAATGCACTCGAATTGAAAACTTGAATGGTGGATTCTGAAGCACTTTCCTTTTGAAATACTCATTAAAATGCATTTGAGTGTACGCTGTGTTGGCCGTTCATTTGTGTTGTTTGGATTTTTTTTATTTTCGCTGTAATTTACATTGACGTTCGACGCTGTTTTAACAGACTGGGGCAACAACATGTGGGTGAAAATCGCCTTGGTGGACTTTGATTGAAATAACAGACTAGGATCATGTAAGTTGTTTATTGTGCGGATTGTAAAGTGGGCTGGGGTGGGGGGAAGGGGCCGCAAGCCCTCGGTCCTTTGACCACCGCCCCCCCCTCCCCGCTTAACAAGCACGCAAGTCATGCCAATAGCTAAGGAGGATCCCATGAAGCAAAGAACACGAGGAGAGTGAGCAGGGCCTTTAATTTTACACGCAAGCAACACGTTCATACGAGGGACGTTTCAGAATTGGCGCTGATGGAGGAGGCGCAAAGCTAAAGCGAACTAGCGCTTGTTTTCCATCACACATGCGCACAGCTATTGGAATACAACTGAGTCAAAACAAATAGGCTTGCAAACAAAAGCCGAGGCTTCAAAATGTTATGTGTCCTAAATGGAAATGGTGAAAGTCTTCTAGACAACGATAAAATTCAGTAGCGGTTGAACCTGCGTCATCAGAAAATGTTTATTCTCATTCTTAGCCAAACTGATCAGTTTAGAGGACGACTGCTGTAACAGTACGACAGTGATGGCCTACAGTTCATAATAAAATTCATCTCACCCTAAAAAAACAACGCAATTTTTAAGAATAGTTAAGCTCACACACATTACGTTAGCACTAACACTGCAATCGTGACTCCAAGCTCACTTCCAAGCAAAGAGAGGTCAAGAAAAGCCGAGCAATACAAATTAAAAATTATGAAATTTTGCGGTTCTAAAAATTGCACAGACAACATTTGCTTCAGATGTAAGTTGTGGCAAGCTGTTGGAGGCCTCTGGCTGGTTACTGTTGCTCTGAGGCTCTTATCTCGGCCGCACTGTCCCAGTCAAACTATTAAGTTGTATTGAACTGCTGATCAAGCAAACCGGCTAACTGTCATAGTGTGGCCTATGTGGTAGTGCTAAAGGAGGGCTTAAGGTTCAGGGGCTCAGCTGAGGGCCGGAAAGGTCAAACATAGGTCTACTGGACAGTGACAAGTAAACATAGGCTAATACAAAGAGGCCAGCTTTAGATTAATCAGTATGTATGAGCGCTAAGACTTTAGGCCTAGCTTAGCAAGGCCGGTCTAGAGTTGTAATATTTTAATACATATATATATATATATATATATATATATTTCTCAGGCAAACAGGCAAATAAATAAGTTCACTGTGAATTTTACTTAAGTGAAGCTTAGTGGAAGAAAACAAAAGGGCTCCCAAGAACTCACTGTTGTTATTGTTGTTATTATGATTATTTACTGTTCATCTTTTATGCAAATAGTACAAAACATTCCATCGTTCACTTTGGAATTTTTGGATTTTTTGCGTCCAATTCAATTCCATGTAATGAATTTTGCGTTCAAATCTACAATCAAAACATAAAAACCCCTTCAAAACCCCAGTGAACAACTCTAGCTAGCCTACATTGTGGCCGAAGCCTCAGTGAACTGGACCCTAAGTTTGTGAATCAAAGTCAAATAAACAGGTGGTCACTAACAAAACCGCTCGTTTGTGCCCAGCACTCTCAGCGATATTTTACGTGCGCCTCATTTCTGCATGTCTGCTGATGCATGGAAAGACTGACTGCAACAAATTCGAAATAATCAGCTCTGCTGACGTGCTTTTTTCCTTTAAAACGAATATGAAAAACAGACAATGGCAATCGTGGCTTCCTGCGGTGGGCGAGTATTGTTGCATACCTGTTAAAAGTTTCAATCAGGGGAACAGCCTGCGTCTTATATCATTTCTTTTACAGACCACCGCGATGCAAAATGAGAGCGTCGAGTCTGCTTGACCTCGGCAACTCCAGCAGCTGACGCTATTCCTTCACTTAAGTAACGTTGTTGAAAGGTTTGACGCAAAAATCTTAAAGCTTAGCCGAAAGTCCTTGCGGTTTTTGAACTAGTCTTATGGAGTAATTGGCCTCATATGTGGACAGACCTTATGATTCCAACCCCCCCTCCAAAAAGCACACACACTAAGCCAAGGGTGAGAGATAAAACGCGCGTGTTTTAACTGGGTTAAATTTCTTGTCCAGACTAATTAGGCTACTGTGATGCTGGTTACTGGCTTTAGTATGAAAAAATAGAAAAAAGTCCCCCCAAGAAATTGAAAATTAAAAAAATGGAAAATATTTTTGGAAAAAGAGAAAAATGCCAAAAATGCATGGAACTTACCAAAGGAGCCAAACATTCAACACGATTGCAAGAAATAAATACATAAATAAATCAAAAAACAAATCAATAAATAAATAAATTGAGAAAATTGGCGCAAATTGTTTTATTTTTAACACCCATAACGCCAAGAAAAAACCTTCTCTAATCATCAGATCCATGCAGATTATCAGATTAGACCCTTCAATCTAATATTTCCATTCACATTATAAAAGAGGTTAACAGGGAATATTGGTTTTGACGCTGAACAGCAGGCGCTGTTTTAGGCGCAATATCTCCAGGCGTCTAAACTGAGCGCAGGAGTTTCTATAGATAATCTTTCTATAGCTTATTTAGCAAACCCTTGCCGTTATAAGTCGCTCGTGGCCTCCAGCTGAAGCGCCCAGCACAGCTGGAGTGCCTCCTAAAAACGGGAATGATTTGATTTGTCAAACCCGCAAACAGTTGTGCGTTTCTCTCGGGGATAATGGCACCTCTTCTGCGCGAGCTTTGTTTGGTGGGAAAGGGGGCAGCGGGGCTGAGCGAGCTCCAAACAATGCCATATCTCAATCCGTTCAGTTTGATTGACACGGAGCTCCTCGTGGAGCTCAGGGCTAAAGGGCCTTGGGGTGAATGAACACAACACGCATCCTGAACGGATATTTTGTCCTCAAACAAGAGAGGAAAATGCCCCCCCCCCCACCTTTTTCAGAAACCCCCCAGCCCAGGCAGTCTAGACCACTCTTCAACAGTTTAACAACGAAAATTAGTCAGACGACTAAGAAACCCAGTTCAGATTTCAAATGAATTCCATACACGGATTAGATGTGAATGGTGAAAGTGGTTATTGAAGCCTGCCT